TAACTAGATTCAAATACTACGACCTTGACTCACAGGAGAGCAGAGACATCTTTTGAAACATTAAGTCGAAAATAGTGTATTCAGATTGAAAAGTAGAGTATGTTTTAATTTAAATAAACCATTTAATTCTAACAAATCTCCTGTAACCTACTCTTGGATTTTATATGGTGCATGAAGTATCAGGACTCTTTATAGTACAAACACAGAATTAATACATAGATATGTATAGCTGATTCAGCAAATAAGAACACAGAAATGGTTACAAACAAGAGGAGGCCACTCTAAATCAAGCCAATTTGGTAGTCAGTAACTGATCCCAGGATCGTACTGTTCAACACCCCACTTCTCTTTGTGTAAAGAAGTGCCTCCAGTTCTCAGTTTCAAATGTATAGCTCTAGAGTTTTCACTTGTGCCCCCTGCTTCGAGTTGCACTGTTCAGTCTGTTGTCAGCTTTGTTGATTTTGTAAAGGCCCTCGAAGATTCTGAATACTTGTATCAGGTCCCCTCATAGTCTTCTCTGTTCAAGACTAAAACGTTTCAGCTTGTCAGAGTAGGACATTCCTTTGAGAAGGCACCTTGTCACTCTTCTCTGGACTGATTCCATGTAATCAAATAACAGGACCTCCTTTAGGAGTTCTCTGTTTCTGTTAGTTCTCTGCACATGATAATAATGGCCCTAATAACCTTCACATTGCTGTCCTATCCACTCCTTCACCTGCAAACAAGTCTCACAGGTGAGAGTGCACACGCGTCCAGTTCCTCACCAGCCTGGTTTTCACAGTGAGTCGAGCACACAGCACAACAGAAATATTTGCAGGTATTGTGCTGCAGATTTAATACTGAAAAGACCAAAATCTAAAAAAAAATATTAAATGAGTATACTGCATGTGTATTAAATATGTAGTTTTAAAAATTGTGTACTAAAAATATTAAACTACAACATGATATTAAACAGACAATATCTAACAACGGTGACAAACTTAAAAAAATCCACCAAAGACTGCCTGCGTATTAACATTTAAAGCTACATTTGAATAATAAACTACACTTCAAATAATTACTTCAATCATAAAATCATCTTGAAAGCAATGTGACATTTTCATTAATTTTAATTCTGTTTAGCTCGGGAATAGCAGGCTATCCACATATGTTCAGGTCATTACCAACAACTGATGATGGCAAGAGACTAACATCGCTTTTTTGTCATTCCTTTTTTTTGATGATATTCTGAGTATGAAATGAGGAATAAAAGTAATAAATAAAACTGTGTGATAAGAATGCTCTGTTGTTCTAAAGTACTAATTACTGACGGTCTAGCAGGGTCAGTCTAGCAGGAGATCTGGGGTGATGGGAACTATGGGGCAGATCTGAGTGAAAGGAGGGGTAAGTTCTTTGACCGGATGCCTGCAAATTGTCACTGACATCTTGTTCTCCAAGCTGGTCTTGTGGCACAGCTATGTCCAGCCAGGCAAGGCTCCCCATGAAGCATTTAAAAAGCCATTATGTGTAATAGCTGTTAAATGAAGACACACTGTCCATCCAGATCACAGGACCCCTTCTCACTTCCACAGAACCCCACCAGAAGTCCTGGAAGAAGTCATCTGTTTTTTATTTATTTTTTACTTCCTATTTAGATAGTCAGATTGAAGTTGCTCTACAAACCACACGGAGTGTAAGTAATACACGGAGGGCATCTGAACATGCTACTGTACATACATGTACTGTGTAGACTGTGAGTCAATCATCAGTTTTGTTTAAATAAACAGGTCACATAAATGTTGACTCTATGTCTGGATCACGCCCTATCCAATCCTTAGTCTTAAAATTAAAAAAAAACGAGCATCCACTTCCAAGTCAATTAATTGAACAGCACAGCACACAACATGTACTGTAGCTCATTCTACAGCGTTAATACATACTGGAGCTCATAAGACACCAGAATAAAACTGCAAAGGGTCTACCGTTTACATGTGGGTAAGTACTGTCCTCTCTACTGCTAAATGGAATTTATGTTGGGTTAGCACCAATAAGTAAAATCCAATTTGCAACATTATGTTGCTGAGGAAAATCTAATTTTAGGATGACTGCATTTCAGTAGTCTGTTTCAGAGCTCTGGTCTCTTTCCCCATCACCTGCCAACTTACACACTAGTGCAACTAACGAACCAAACAATTTTCGTTTATGAGATCTCTTACACTGCTGCTTGGCTATCTCTTTTAGAATAACTTGCCTACTGTATATTCCTGAAGAAAGTGGATATTTTTTAAAATTTCTGTTAAAGATTAGAATAACAACGGCTATTACTGTATAGCACACACAGGGCATGTATGAGCACAAAAAAAACTAAAACCACTATGCATATCTGATTATCCTACAACTAATGCTCCTTGGTTCTTACAGTACAATGACTGCTTCTGAGCAGATCATGTCTGTAAAGTGGGACACTACTTGCTGCAACAGTAAGTGCCAGACATCTGGTCTCATTTATCAAACGCTGACATTGGAAGAGTTACCTTTTATAAGTGCAAGGAGTCAACGTATGATATCGACTGACAGACCAGGTAGGAATCTGTTAACTCGTTGTCCATAACGGAATAAATTGGTAAAAGAATTAAATCTCAGAATAAAATCTGCCAGCGAATAGAGGTTTATACTTTTCTTACTCAGATTTTAGTCAAGCTTAAAATAATCAGGTTTTTGCTGATTTACTATAAAACAAATGACAAGGGAAATCTGATGAATGAGAGAGATTAAACTACAGACTGTACAATCACAGAGCAATACATCTTTCCTTATTTGATACTTAGTCATCTGAGATTTATTCTTTTGTTTTTGTTTTTTTGTTTTGTTTTTCCCTTCTATTTTTGCTTTATCTGCAAAGGGTTAACCATATGTTTATCACAGAGCCCTAGGGCTGAGAGTTGAATGTAATGTGATCAGTAATGAATTTTGTGTTACATTAGGCTGTATAAATGGACGGACAAGCGCAGACTACAAGTGTCCGGGAGTCTGAGTTAATCTAATGATGCAAAAATAGAGACAGAACCAATTACAGAGAGGGCCAACTCGGTGCTGCTGCAGGGACTGCAAATGAATAGGTACAAATCAAATTACCGGCTAATAGACGCGCTACAAGAGGGGGCAGTCAATGCTAAATGCATTAGGGCCTTGTGACCTCCCTGCTCCAAGCAGCAGTATCCAGAATCCAACTTCCATCTTCCCTCAAAAATCAAAGGAACTCTTGTTCACTTAAGTAGAAGAAGAAAGCGCTGTTGCTTCCTAAATGAGTTAAACATTTGGATTGTCAGAATGGCAATTTCCCCTTTTGGTTTCAGTACGAATGACCTAATTTATTATTTTAAAACCTTAGAAATGTACTGTTTCCAAGCTTATCCGTGCAAGAAATCACTTTAACAAACCAGAAACAGTTTACAAAGAAATGCTGATCTTTTATAAACTTAAGAAAAGAAACAGGCACAAATTTAAGCACTTTGACGTTTTTACTCAGTTCTGCTTGAAAGATGCAAAGTATAGAAAAGTGTAGGGATAAAGTAGGTTCCCTTATTAAGATGTGTACTGTTATTTTCTTCCCTGAGCTAAGTGAGCTGTAAATTACTGGAACTAGACAGAGAAGAATTTCAGAGAAATCTACCGAGAGTGTTTTTTAAAAAGGAACTTCAAACAGACAGAATAAGGCTTATTTAAGAATTCAGTAAATTTACATTTAATTTATTAGTTCACTCTTTGAAGTTTAGAAACACACTGAGGAAGGCCACCGTGTCTCTGAACTAAATAATCACAAAGATTATTTAATTCCCTTTACTCTTTGATAATTATGACGTGCACAAATGCAGCTGACTGGTGGACAAAAGAAAAACAAAACACTTTGAAACAGCATGTTGCACTTACTGTCAGGTGAGAAATACGCTTGGCTAGGATTTGCCGGTAGTATTCCACACTGTTTAAAGTAAAAATTACTTAGCAAACAAATTAATATGAATCACTTAGAAATATTCCATTGATATATATATATAGTAGTTTTTCATGATGGTAACAGACAGCTACTTATTTTTAATCCAGATGACTGAGGTGCAAAATAAAGAGGACAATGATGGTAATCTGTAGTACACGTCTACAAATCTCTTGCCCTTCAGCATTGAAAGAATCAAGTCATTTCTAAGGGGCGGCTAGAAATAGGTTTCTAATTATTTTCTACTATAATGCCAAACGCAAATAAACAGGCAGGGGACATTCCTGCCTCCCATGTTAAATCATTACTGCTGATGAGAAACAGAAGGTCAAAGTATGAAGTAGTCCCTCTCACCCCAGCACTAAATCACAGGGGATGAGGACAGATCAAATAGAGAAGGTGGTAGCTCTCTAGAGCCGAAATTCAGCCACAGTACCGTCAGGTTATCAGGTCCTAACTGCCACTGTTCCCAACCTGTAATCTGTATTATCTAATACATTTTTCAAGTTTCTGATTTTGAAATACTGCAAAACCTACTGAATGATTCAACACGTTTTTACGATTCAGATCTTTTGTTTTATAGGAAAAAGGTGCTGTATATATTATCACAGGCGTTTATTATTCAAGCAAAATAAACATCTCTAAATATTCTTCCCACTGCCGCCGGGCTTTAGGGCAGCTCGGGAGAAAAGGCACAACGGTACATAAAGCTGTGGTCCTGCAGTAAAAAGAAAACCATGGCTGGACATACTGCCTGTCTACGTGGAGGATCATGTGTACCATGGTGATGGTTACACTGATCCCAGTGCTGGAGGATGGTGTGGGTGTTCATCTTCACTAGAAAGAGCTTTGAGCAATAACCAGGAGTTTGTCCTTAAAGGGATGTGGGAGTACTGAGAAAACGGCAAAGTCATGTCGTGGATGCTGAGTCACTGGGATTGTTCAAGTGGAGTCCTAAGCTTCTATCAAACTATGTCAGTAAGATGTAAGCAAAGGTCCCGCTCCCATGGTCTTATTCGTCTATTCTTACCCGTCCCAGAGCCAACAATATCCCTGCTGGGAGACTCGGACATGGCGTCAGCCAGTCTCTCCCGCAGACCCTCCTCTGTGTTGTCGATGGAGGACATGTGCCGCAGACCGAAGCTCTCTGGCCAGCTGCCGCACACCTCCAGCAGGGTCACGCTGCGGTCAAAGGTCCCTGCGGAAGACAAAGGAGAGACAGCGCTTCAGTCTGTCTGTCTGACTGTCTGTCAGCAGGCTCCGGGGGTCAGGGGTCAGGGGACAACCCTGGATGAGAGTGTCTTCACTTCGCCGCTCCTGCCTTGTGTCAAATGCAGTTTCACTCTCCACCACACCGCCCTCTGCAGTGCCTTGATTTACTGACAGAGTCAGATGGCATTCAAGTCGGAAGAACATGCACAGAGGTCAGTTTCAAAGATGACACAAAAAACTAACTGAAAATACCACTGATATGGACACATTTCAGCCTTGATTATGAACATCTCTGGCTACTGTTCAGGCTGTACAATGTTAGACCACTCTGTTTCTTTCACAAGCTTTTCCTACCAACAACAGAAACATGTGGAAAGTCTGAATTAATCTGGTTGCAAAATGTAGCTGGATTCAGTATTTACATGAAAAATCCCTATCTCTATGCTTCTGTGAACGACATACATCACTATATGGAGTCTGAATATTTTGAAAATTTATTATTTCTTAGGAATGGAAATAATTAGCATGTGTAATATTTTTCTCTGTATAATTATTGGATCACAATACTGTGTTCCATTCACTATTTATAAAAACAAACAAGCAAACAAAAAAGTTGCTGTACTATCTATGCCAAGCTGCAGGATAAGAAAGCCACAATAATAAAAAAAAAAAATCTGGCAGAGAGTTTGAGTTTGTCTGGCTTTTGTAATCACAGACTTGGTTGAGAGACACCAAGGG